GGCCTCTGAAACTTTTCTTTGGTTAACTCAGAAAGAAGAGCATTACAATAATCAATACGTGAAGACACAAATGCATGGACAAGAACCTCTGCAGTGTCGCTTGATAAAATTTGTCTGATTTTGACTATGTTCCTCAAATGATAAACAGCGGTCTTTGTTATCTCTTTAACATGAGACTCGAAGGAGAGCACCATGTCGAACCACACGCCCAAGTTTTTTTACCTTGTCCCTGCAATTTATGACACTGTCATCAATTTTCAAGATGAAATTTTGGGGCAAGTGCTGAGATTTTTGTGGTCCAATGACCATCAACTCTGTCTTATCAGTATTTAGAAGTAAGAAATTATCCAATAACCAGCTCTTAAATGCAGATAGACAAGATTGCAGTTTAGAGACTTCAGCACAATTTCCAATGGTTAGAGGAACATAAAGCTGCAGGTCATCAGCGTAACAATGAAAGGTTACATTAAAAGAACATAAAAGAACACCAAGAGGCAGCAGATAAATAGAAAACAGCAATTTCTCTGTATCTGCTGCAGCCTGTCACTGAAGGAGCTGTTCAGTGCTGTCAGAGTCTCCTGCATAAGGTGGGAGATGTTGTCCAACAGCTTAGCCACCATTCTCCTGTCACTCACCACCTCCACTGGGTCCAGAGGGCATCCTAGAACAGAGCTGGCCCTCCGGATCAGTCTGTTCAGTCTCTTCATGTCCCCAGCAGAGATGCTGCCGCCCCAGCAGACCACACCATAAAAGATGGCTGAGGCCACCACAGAGTCATAGAAGGTCTTCAGGAGAAAAGACCTGAGTCTCTGCAGCAGGTACAGCCTGCTCTACCCTTTCCTGTGGGGAGCATCTGAGTAGTGAGTCCAGTCCAGTTTATTGTTCAGATGAACACCAAGGTACCTGTAGCTGTCCACAGCCTCAATGTCCATACCTTGAATGTTTAGTGGTTGCCGTGGAGGATGTTTGTGCTTGCGGAAGTCTACCACCAGCTCCTTGGTTTTTCTAGTGTTGATCTGGAGGTAGCAGTCCACAAAGCCTTGGGTCAGTTCTCTGTACTATTGCAGACTCATCAGAGAACTTCTGCAGGAAACACTGGTTGGAGTTGTGGGAGAAGTCTGCAGTGTAGAAGTCTCAATTCTCAGAAACCTGGCAGACAAAAACTAACAACAAACAAAAACATTCCACCATAATAACAATCCAAAGTGCAAAAGCACATATGAGTTTCTAAAACATCTGTTGCCTGACTTAAATCCAGCAGAAGTGGTTTGGGTTATTTCAAAGGCAAAACCAACGTAAACTAACACAGCACACTGACACGCATTCAGCTGTAAGTAAGTGTCTTTGAAGAATGGCAGATAATTCAACACATGTAGAGAAGGATTGAGCCTGTCAAAAGAAAGCTAATATAAAAACACAAGATTTGACTTATACAGGTATACAGCCTTTTTATTGCATTACTTAATATTAGGTTGCCTGCAGTTTTAATGTATTAAATCTAAAATCGATAGTGTTAGATATTTCACAGCTAAAACCCTACTGTCAATCTCTTCATAACATAACATTCAATTAACAAATATAATAACAGTGAAAGGGTCAGCTGAGATCAATACAAGATTTCAGCTTTTTGTCCGATTATTTTCAATTGATAATCCACCATAACGTTTGTGTTTATTGCTTTGGTTAGCTGTCAAGCTGTCAGCAGATTTCAGTGTAGCTGGATCCTGTGAGTCGCAGCTGGACTCAATCAACTTTGAACAACAAAAAATATTGGATCACTTTGCTTTGAGGAAATAACCAGCTCCTCTTTTCTTCCCTGACAGCTCCTTAGAGAGAGAAAGACTGCTTGGAAAGTGAATTTGATCGAACTCACACTGCTCTGTCTATTTCTCTCCAATTTGTTCTGGTTATTATCTGGCTGTTTAACTGCATTTTTCAAAGCAAAGTCTAACTGAGCAGGTCAGCCTCACTGATGTTTCAGTGCTACGCTGATTAGCATGGTGTGAAAGAAATCCTGGTTAAATTTCATGACCTATTTTACCACGCAGCTTTTGTTCTGCCCGGAGATTCACAACTAGTTCCTGCAACGCATCGAGTCAGCGTTTCTGGGCTGAATTAGAGTGGCACAAAACGTGCAGCTGGCATCAGTTGAAACAGTTTCTAATGTAAGAAAGACTAAAACCAAAGTCTGTCAAATTCTTCCTCCTTGTGTTTTTAATTTTTTTGCTTGCACAGTTGTGCGCCAGCTTGTAAGATGATGACCTTGAGGCTGGTTTCATTCTGGTTATACTGGGACAAATTGTCAGTATACTTTAGTATGAAGATTTTAATATCCACCAGGTTATTGGTAACCCATCTAGGCTTAATTCTAAGGTTCAGTTGCAAGTTAATGGTTTTTAGGATCAGTAGAAATTGTCTATTTAGTAGAACCATACAAGTACAACCATAACCCTTGACGGGTGACTGGTGAGCTGGTAGATAAGACTTTGAATAGTCTTAAATTTTTTTTAAACCCAAAACATAATATTTGTTACACCTATCCAAATAGGTTTGATTACAACTGACCAAGCTTTGATTTTAAGCAAAAGTAAACAACCAGGCCTGTTGCTCATTTGTCGTTGTCATTTTGTGACTTCTTAATTGAACTTCTCAAAGCTCAGTGGGATTTCTAAGCATTCCACAAGTTCCTTAATTGATGGAGTCCGGTGACACTGTTCTGTGACCTACAATCTCTGAGTAATGAAAGATACGAACCGGACGCAGTAGCATAGTGATTGCTTTAAAAGATATGTTTGAAGCAGTGTTTCAAGACCAGACCTGACCTCTGTGTCTCGATGTTTAGACAAATTACAGCACTAAAGGGACTCGTTAATCTGCCGAATGCTATCATTTATGAGGCAGAAAGCCCAACTCTCTTGGGCAAAATTTGTGGAATGTGATTTCTGTGCACTAGATGCCGAAATATTTATGTGCCCTTTTATTTAAGGTCTGCAGAGCATCTTTCCACTTGGAAAGGTGAGCCACAGGGCAGTACTCAAAAGTCAATGCATAGTGGGAAATAGATGTGCACACACACATCCTCCCACTTACACATCATATTGAAGGAATGCTAAATGTTAATGTTAAGGGTGAAGCACACTAGTCACACTAAGCACCTACACCATGTGTGTGAAAAAGAAAATGTTTCAGAAGGCACACAGAGAAGAATAAGTAGGCATGTGAGAGAAGGGGCACTCTGAATCCATGGAAAGTGCTTTCAGTGCATACACATACGTATGATTTGGCACCTTCCTGAAACTCTATTCGAGCTGTTTTAAGTTGATTGTGACAGAAATGTTTTTATTTATCCTTAATATTTAAAACTTGGAAACTAGCTCACAAATGAGATTTTTCCACAAAACCAAAGATCTGCTTAGATCCACTTTGTTGTAGATTCACAACTGCACGTCCCTTTTTGAAACTCATAGCATATGATATGAGTCCAGAGGACAACAATAAAGACCTCGAACAACTATTAGCAGCATCTCACTGGCTCCAACATCCTACCTTCAAATAGCTACATGCACATTATAGTCCATCGTACAGACTAGTCATGGGGTTGATATTAACATAAGTCCAATAATTTAAGAACGTAACTTCCTCTGCGTTGGTTTTTTTCACTTAACAGTTGTTAACAACTGACTGCAGGACAGTGTATGTTAGATCATTTCATTAGATAACAGTTTATAAGAAAAATGATGGGCCAACAATCTCAAGCCCATACATTAGGGAGGTAAAAACATACATGACCTGCAGAATCTCATATGAGTGGAATTGTTTTTAGTTGTCTCAGCTGGACAAAATATGTCTCAGAGGAGGCTTTTTAGTCAGAAAGGAGATACTATCTTGTTTAGGGTCCATCAGCTACATATGAAATCCATAATATCAAGGGTTATTGTAGTCATGTATTATCCATGTAGGAATGAAAATGTATATTTACTCCATATGATATGCCCCATATTGTTAAACTGTTAGCAGTCGGACGTACCGCCCACGGGACATTGGATGGTTTAGGGGACTAATAGGACTGCTAAGGGGTTAAAGAGATAGCCCCATGTCTTTCTGAAGGAGGTTATTCCTCCACTGTTATATGTCTGAAGGTTCTCAGTCATCCAGGTCATTGTAGTTCAAGGAGCTGGAAAAAAAGGTGTCTGGAAGTTTCCTTGAAGACGTTTCACCTCTCATCTGAGAAGCTTCTTCAATTGCTCTTAGACCAATATCAATTGGTGGAGAGTCCCAGATTTAAAGTCCTATGGGAGTGTCCCCAAAAGGGTCATGGACCCCTTATTGATCTTTGAGCAGAGGCTGTGGCTTACGACACCAACTGCCTGCCATCTATAATCCAGTTTTGAGATCCTTCCCAGATCACGATAGGCTGTTGTTTCTGTGTCCGATATACATCAGATTATTGAAAAATACCAGCTGGACATATGTTATCCACAAAACTGGAAATGTTTCCAGCTTATATCTTATGGAGAAACTGCACTAGCATACTGCCAACCACTCAGAACTGGTGTCACAACTGAAAATAACCACATGCAGTTATGTTGGCTGAAGATGAGCAGAAGAGCCATGACTGATGTGTCTCTACCAGAGATGGGCAGTAACACGCGTTACTGTAATCTGATTACTTTTTTCAAGTAACGAGTAAAGTAACACAGCAAATCCAGCATGTCCAAATTAACACCGTCAGATTTGATTTCAACACTATTAAAGTGTCTATATGGGTCCACACCAGAGAGTGTTAATTTAACTCTTTTTGGAGAGTTGCTACATTAACTCTGATTTAGTGTTAAATATCAAATCTGCCTGGAGTCATTAACACTAACTAGGTGTTAAGAGTTTATATATTAACTCTTACAGAGTATTTTATTTTGACTACAAAAGAGTTATCGTCTATTTAATTCTAAAAAGTGTAAATTTTACTGTTCTGATCTTTTAGAAATTCCTTGGGGAAAAAAATATTAAAAAGAGCCAATGTTCTTCTGAAAAAGATTTATTTTTATATGCACCACATTTTCAAAACATTTTTTAAAACATGTAACAATATGGAATAATGTATATCTTCTCATTTTCATTTGAATATTGCTTGTCAAAGGGTCTAACATAGTTGAGCTGGTCAATTGAAATAACAACATGCTCATTACTTTTTTCTTCAATGCAGTATGCATGAAAGTGTTCATCAAAGTACAAGGTGTTGACAGTACAGCCTATTATGAATGCATGTTGTTCATGTATTATGATATAGCAAATTTTCTTAAACACTGGTAGATCACTGGACATTCCAGTGCATAAAAACAAACCAACCTGGTATTCAGTGCCATAATTTCTAACCCAATTTGTAGTTGAAACATTTACACATGAATCTACATTTAATGACTCGCACAACAAATGTCCACCTTCCATGCTATCAACTCTTTTTAATTTTAAAGGACCGAACTGAAATCTTTTAAAACAATAGTTTTCATAGTAAAAGGCCAATTGACGCTGATGTTGCTTTACTAGAGATTTTGTAAGGTTTTTAAAATTTTTGACAGCCCTTTTAAAAAAAAATTGTGTTTTGCTTCGAAACGCATACACCATATGTGGATAAGAGGGCCAATTTTCTTAATACACCTTGGATAGTGAATCATTAGGTGGTGTTTAGGAATTAATTTTCTACCAGGGAACAAGTTTTTAAACATGTTATGGTGATCACAGATCAGATGTTTCAAGTAACATATCATGCCATCAGTAAGGACTGGGGACAACACAATATCAACAATTTGCAACAACAGGAGAACAAAATTCCAGTGACTATTGTCCCGCTCAACTATGTCTCCAAAAATTAGTGGAGTATTGCGTAGGATACATAATGACTGAATGGCATTTAAACCTAAGTGTTTGCTGTTATCGTCTATTTTTAACCCACTTGGTTTATTTTTACGCTCTACAAAACCATAATTAAACGTCTGTATCCTGTCAAGTAATGTGCTAATGGAGATGTAGCCATTTTTGATCATGTATTGAAAAAAAGTTTGAGCTCATACTGCACAACTCCTTCCAATAAATCGTGCATTATATCAACTGCATAATTGTCAGTGCTGTGAAACTATTCCAATGAATTGAGCACACAAGATCTTTTAACTCCATAAATGGAAGTGAGAGCAGGGTCTTCACTTAATGCATTACAGTGTTCAATATGAAGTTCTCTGGAGCGCAGAACAATGTCCGAACTGTCTTCATTAAACACAGACCGAATTCCTTCCTTGTTTACTAAACAAAACCTACACCAGTTTGTTGCACCAAATGATTCAACAAAACCTAGTAAGCCATTTAAAGCAAGATTGTCTCCTGTAACTTGAACAACAGAACCAAACACTGGCTCTTCAGTAAAGGGAAGCAGGATTCCTTTAGTTTCTAAAATTTTCAAGTCATCAATCAAAGGCTTTAGTATTTCTTCAAAACCATATTTCTTTAAGTCTTCTGTGTAGAAAAGAGCAGCTAGATGTACATTCATCAGCACAGAGTTAACCTTTGGTGGGAGGTTTTTTTATAGTGAAATAAATACAGCCCAGTTTGTGGATCCCTTTCTTCGAACCTAATGGGTTAGCAGTTTCAAAATCATCGTAATACAGTAAAATCTGTAGAGCATATTTCTGTTGTGAAAACAGAGGATGGTTTTGGAAATATAATCCATCATTAATGTCTTTGTATAACCCAGCTTGTGTTTGTTTCTCATGCAAGAAGCATTCTCTAATGTCTTTATTCTTGAAAATTGAATGTATCGTACCTAAAATGGGCACATACATGTATTTGTCTCTGACAGGTGTTTCGCTATAAACCCCTGTAGTTCTATGTCTACGTGTATCCAATCTTACACCAAGTACAAATTCTTTAGGCTCAACTATTTCCCATTTTTCATCGTAATATTTCTGTCTTTTTTTCTCAGTGTTAAATTTTGAAAAGGGGTTATCTAATTGGTTTAAATTGTGCTCAACTCTTGTGTAAATGTCTGATTCCTTACTATCAGGGGAAAATGTTTGGAGTACTACTTCTCTTGCTTGACTCTGAACATCACTGACAACTTCCTCAACAGAACTAATTATTGTTTGAACAGCACTCTCAGTAAGACCAGAAGCTTGTAAGTGAGCGACAATAGATCCACACATTCCAACAAGCGAGTCCTGTGAAATAACAGTGGGAACCTGTGATACAGATGCAGAAGTAGATGGTTGATCACTAAAAGAGTCTCCTAGAGAATGTGTTTGTTGGGCAACTTCCTGTTCCATCCCTACATGTTTATCGTGATAATGACTATGTACATTATGAAGATGTTTTCTAAAGCCATTGTAAGTACAAAAAGATGAAAGACATCCCTGCTCTCCACATTTTAAACGCAGATTTTTGTTTGGATATAAACCATGATGAAACTTTAAATGTTGACAAAGAGCTGAACAATTTTTGTGGTGCATTTTACAAACAAAGCATTTGAACATTGTCAAACATTTTTTTTTTTTTAAATCCTCCTAAAAGCGTGTGGACCTTGCGGGCATTTAACGGTCTCGCAGCAGACGTGCTCTCAGTTCCTTGACTCGAGGGCTTTCTTTTGTGTTTCCAACATCAATGTTGTAGATTGTGGTTTGAATGAAGGTGTAGAAACTGGAAAGAGCTTCATCATATGAGAGGCTGAAGACAAAGTGTGCTTTGAAAAGCCCATCAAAAGCAGCCACTGAAGTTGGAGCATCACATGGGATAGCTTTCTGGTCTACAACGATGAAGAACCTCTGAATGTTCTTCTTTTGTTCACCAATGCAGAGAAGGAAGGGCTGCCTGGTGTTAGCTTTCTCCAGGAAAGTAGTGAGGCTGACTCCTTCCTGGAATTTGAATAGCACATTTCAATCATGAGTAAAATTTTCTTTTCAACTGTTTGGCTTGCATATAAAGTCTGTGGGCCCAAGCAAGTAACCCGTCTTAACACAAATGGATCCAAGTAGAATAAAACAGAGTAATGCTTTATTTTTGAAGTTCACATTCTTCTGTTTGCAGGGGCAATGAGTGTGTGCTGAACCCAAATCTGTGGATTAACTTCTTTTGGAAAGGAAAGCCATACCAGATTTTATCTCTTCTGATATCTATAGATACAGCATGATTTCATACCAAATACACAAAAGATAATTAATTTACTGCATCTTTTCTGTTTTTATCTTGTGGCTTACCATGGACCAAAAATCATTAATTACAAACAGTTTTTACAAAAAATTAGAGTAGAGTAATAGAGCATACCTTGATGAATCTCACAAGATGATTGGCTGCCTGTGCAGAGCTAATTCTTGCTGTTTTTTTGTGGCCTTTTGATGTTGGGGGCAGGAGATGCAGCAACAACAGAAGAGCTGCCATGTCACTATCCCAGCCTTAAAGACAAAAAGCACATTTGAGACAAAAGGTTAAACATGAACTAGAAAACAGTTGGAAAATAAGCAGTTAAATGATGAGATTTCTGGAAATGCTTACAGCCACAAGGATGCATAAATTACTAATTTACTAGTCTATTTACGCTCAGTTAACTGTTTTAGGACAGACAAATGGAAATGTAAGTATTTTATATACTGAAGCACTGTCCAAATTTACCCCAGTCATTTGAAGCCTCCGTATCAAAAGATGCTCGTAACTCCTCAACACAAGGACTTGATGGAAGACTTTGGCATTCTGCGATGATTTTTTGCTTGAAATACGAAGACCACTTTGTAAGAAATCTTCCAGAGGCCTCATCTCCAAGCATCATTGCAAAATCCTGATCAATCTATTAATAAGACAAAACAGGAACCAAATACTGGTTACTTAAGTGTTCTTGGCAAAATGTTATCTTCAGTTTCAGATCAAGAAATGTCTAAAAATATACTCACCAACCCCGGTGTATCAAGGAAACGAGGGAAGACAGCCAAGATTGATGATGTTGCATCTGGGTCATGTACCAGCTTCTGTCTATATTCAAAAGTAGCTTTCATCTTCTCTTTAACCACAGACCTATCTGTTGAGTGTCTAATAACAGACAGAGCCTCTCTGCACTCCTCACCAAAAAGCTGTCCACTAACAAACAAAGATTCTCTTCGGGTTGTTGAACTGTGCTGGAAGTTTGGCCTGGGACACCCACTAGCACCATCATAGGTATTGCGTTGGACAGTCTTGAGTCTCCAAGCAAGATAGCCAGTATTAGCCTCCGGATCATAGTAATGTTCCTGCTCATGCATACACATTAATCACACACAAAAACAAACAAAAAACATACACAACAAAAAAATGCAACAAAGGAATGCATATTTGGTACCACTTTAACAACATGTATAAATTACAGAGATGTTGCGTTTCAGAGATAACACTTACATAGCCATTTTTTGAGTAAGGATCTTGGAGATATGGAAAAAGTGTTGCAATCCCCAGTGTATAGTTAGTCCGAACACTTATGGGTGGAATCCTCCTTTCAAAAACAAAAAGTGTATTGCTCTTCTGCTCACTCGACAATTGTTTTTATGATCATCAAAGAATACTTACCCGTGTGATTCTATCATATCTGCAACCAGTATGTTGACCATTTGTCGACGAGTTGGATCTGACAGTGTTTTAGTTTTGTCGTATTCATTGAAAATTTCTTCACCCTTTGGGTTTGAGCTCAGGACACTACACACCTTCTGTTTAAAAAAAAAGTCATACTGATTAAACTAAAGCAAATTATACAAAAAAGTTAGTGTTTGTAAAATGCTGTTAAGCACTGGAAATTGCTTTAGGCTTTGCTTTTGACCTGCTTCGCTTCATCGCGATCAAGCTCTTGTAGGCCCTTCTTCCTGTTCTTTGTACTTTGAGGATCATAGTTGAATCTGATGAACTGGTAGAAGCTGGGGACGATGGATGGTCTGACAATGAAACTGGTGATGTCAGGAGGGCAAGAGGGATTGGCTGTACCGATGACTCTGATTCATCGTCAACCACACTGATCTCAATGTCTTAAAGGGAAAAAAAAGGCACATAAAAGGCACTGAAAAAAATGTGCAAAATGCATATGAGAAGTCACAACAACTGCAATAATGTTCAACCACATAAATTATATCTGATAACAGCATGTAATATGCTCTCAACATGTAAAAGCATTTTACAGTTTTTCAAAGAAGAAAATTGGAATCTGAAAGGTTGTTAAATCTGGCTAATATTCATGTAAACTTTGAAGATCATGAAGAAATGTACTCCTCTAAATTATTATGGATCTACTGTACCTGTTGCTGTCTGCATTCTATATCCAACTTTGAAAGCTCGAACTCCAGACTTTACCAGCTCATCAAAAATGTCTGCGTCAACTTCAGTGTCAGAGGTATCAGTGAGGATGAGTACACCTTCTGTGAAGAATTGAGGCTGCAAGCTGAACTTGTCCATAACTAAAACAAAGAAATCCGAAATGTCACTATACTATTAAAACCACCAAGTCTTACTGTTGATCACTTATAGGTGATAATTTTATACTCATTTAAAATTGCACATGAGTACAAACCATCTTTAAGAAACTGGTGGAAATGAAAGCATTCATCACTTTCTGGAACTTTGACATACTTCTGCACTCCCCCATATTCCACCTTTGCAAGCATATCCTGTGTGGAGATTCAATAAAAAAATTAATTGTACAGTAATTAATTGGACAAATAACCTGGTAATCAATTGAAAAAAGAAGAATCATGATCCATAACTTGTGTTAAGCAAAGCATTTTCCCAAAAGACAATTCTAGATACTAAACAATTTGTCCATCTTTCAAGTCAATATTATAGTCACGATTACGTCGACTATCAAAGTCGCTTTGTAAAATCCCAAAAGACAGGAATAAGTAGTAGGATTTAAGAGTGTAATAACGGACTGAAACAGAAGATGGCAGCACTGCATGTACAAGGATGCCAGCTGCCGTTAAACCCCGAAGAAGAAGAAGAAGAAGCTGTGTCCCAGAATTCATAGCGCGGCCATGCTCAGTTTCCAACGATGGCGGCAGCTAGTTAGTTTTAATGTTACTGTTAATATTCTTTCTGGGTCACAAAATAAACGTCTACTTATTTTCAGGCGAGAATGTAGCTGTGTAAACCTCAAATATCTGCTCAGTTTATCAGGACACCACATATTTTCAAAAGCGCTCCGACGTTTTTGGAGACGTCTGTTACCCACTAGCTAGCTGGGGGCAAGGCTCACCAGAGCCGTGAGAACACCGGACTCCCGGCAAATCGTTTTCAAACCCACCGCCGTCTTTCGCTACTCAGGTTAAACATGACATATAAGTCACTTCGATAACTTCAAAATGTTATTGTTTGGCTTTTTTCAGTATTTTATTTGTCCTGAGTAAATCGGCTGACTTTATTAAACTCCACCGAAACACTCTGCACATTTAATTAACATTTAATAAACTACCATCTTGTCTTTATTTTTAGTTAACACATACCTTAAACACTTAAAGCTGTAATCTAATAATAGTTATATAAGAGCAGATGCTGCTGGTGCAATAAGCTGTCTGTTTTACATCCAATTGATGCATGATCTGATTAGTGGACTAATTGCAAAAATAATCGGTGACTAGTCGACTATCAAAATAATCGTTTGTGGCAGCCCTACCCACAACACATTTGTTAAAATGATGCTCTCTATAACAACTGAAGAACACAGACAATAGTTAATTCCGTAATAAATTATAAGCCTTGATCTTTTTAATTTTTACCTAAAGTGAGTGCACAAAACTCTGAAAAGATCTAAATGTTAACATAGAACCCAGTCAGCACATCTGCTACTGCCGTTTACTATATCAGTTTATGTGGGAGATAGTTTCCAGGCTTTAAGTGCCAACATAATTTTATGCCAACCTAAACATTGTTTTAAGTGTATTTGAGTTAGCAAAAAAATGACTGAACACTCATATGCAAGTCTTTTGCCCGCCAACAATACATTTCAGCTAGCTAAAACAGATTTTTATGCTATCACCGAGCAACGTGCTAATGCTTTTCACACAGCTTTGTCTCGACTCAAAAAAGCCACAGAATTAAAAGGTAGTAATAATAATTACAAGAATCTCAGAAAAAATGACTTACCAGGCGTGGCAAACAACTCGGAAAAATGGAGAGCTAAATGTTCTGAAATGGCTTCCCTTCAGCTTCATTCGGAACCTGTGATGCTGGGGGCGGAGTCTATGAATTTACTCTATTAGTGTCATAGCCCCTTTAGGAGTTCAGAGTTAAGAGGTCAAGAGTTAACGTTTCCATTTCGACACCTCCAGATTTAATATAGAAACACTCATTTTTAACACTCGATTTTAACTACTAATGTTTTACACCTCAGAGTTACATTAAAAGAAAGTGACTCTACTTAGAGTAAAATTAACTCTGCTTTTGCACAAGGTCTACTAACACCAATATATTTAACACTTTTGAATTTGCTGTAAGGGATTACTATTGCAAAAACGGTAATTAGATTACCGTTACTTTCCTGTAGGAACGCTGCGTTACTGCGTTACTAAAACCGTGATTTTTTGCGAGAATGTCTCACGACAGTGACGTAAGCGAGTGCGCGTTACGTGACAACAGCTGTGTGCAGATCAACAATGGATCAATATCGATGTGCGGAGAGAGTATGAGCGTGCAGCGTTTAAAGCGTGGAAGTACTGACCTTACTTTGAGTTTGATTCCATAAAAAGTGACAAAAACATTAGTGTCCGCTGTGCGTGGGAAGAAAACTTCTTTTTACAGCGAAAAAACCCCTAAACTTCCAACAAGCACCGAGTAGCTACGAGTAATGGGAAACTCACAGAGAAACTCGCGGATTCTTCCACTGACCGCGGCACACCTGCACCAGGGTAAACCTCCGCCTACCCGCACTCCTGCTTTACAGGTGAAAATAGAGCAACAGGACCGCTGAGTCTTTGACTTTATTTATTTTCTGCTGTGTTTTACTTGCATCTATTTGAAAGAGTGAGTGTAAACACAAAAATATTTTATTTTATGTGCTGGAATGTGAGAAAATAGGTTTAAATGTTAAACTAATTTATTCAAGTCAGAGAATGTTGCATATAATTAAATTTTTGCTTGATGCATAAAGTTAAAAGATTAAAACTAATAAAACAAGTTTTAAAAAGAGACTTTTCCATTTGATTACATTTTGTATGATGGATTATGTAGAAAAAGTAGAATTGGGCTGAAAGATCTATCGCTTTATCACCTTTCAGGTTGTAAATCGTGTTTTTAAAAAGTAACTAAGTAACTAAGTAATTAATTACTTTTGAAAATAAGTAATCAGTAAAGTAACGGGATTACTTTTTTGGGGAAGTAATCAGTAATTAGTTACTGATTACTTTTTTCAAGTAACTTGACCAACACTGGTCTCTACATTAACTGGAAACTTTCTAAGCAGAGTTTCCCACAAGAGACTAGAGGCTGAGAAGAATTATATGAACATTTATAATCCTGGACAATAAAACATTTGCATAGTTTCCTGGCAACATCAAGTTTAAAAGCTTAATTCATCCAGTGCCGTGGTCACCAGCTCATTTTGTCCTTGTATTTTAGTTTCTCTATTTAATAATAATACTGTAGGTGTCCACTGCAGCTGTATGTATTAATGAAACCCTTTAAAACTACTACAGGAGACAGCTTTGATTAGAGCCTGAGTGAAATTTTTGCAGCTGGAGTTTATTTAACAGCTTTGCAGAGATTTACATAGCAGATTTAAATATGGGGCAGAGGTTTGGAGCTTTGGTTGGGGGTCATTGCTTTTGTTTTTATTTTAATAGAAAAACTGTATCACACTTATTTTGAAATGGAAGATCTTCTAGTTTTAGAATATTTGTTTATTTAGCTCAATTCAAACCCTAGATTGGTTGCTAGTGACCTGTTGAATGTTAAGATGCTAATGGTCTGTTGTATTTGCCTGCATTCGAATTTAGATATACTAGTCTTTATGTCTGGAATTTGTGAGGTGTCTTGGAGAGTTTTCTTTTGTCCCTTGTTATACATTACACAAAAGATGACCTATTTCATCTTTTCTTTCCTTACCACATGAATATCATATTTTTGTCTCTATAGCATAAGGCACAACACTCACACAAAAAACAGCGATACCTAGTTCCAAATTGCCTAGGGCTTGATGCCTGCCCCAAAACTGAAACCACATTTGTTTAAAAATACTGTCACTAAGGGCTTTAACTCAATTCATGCACAGACCTTACATTACCCTACATTACATTGCATCTCCAGGGCATTATCTTTTCATCATCAATTGTGTTGCTTTGCAGCACTGAGGACGTAATGCTTGGACAGATACAGTATGTTCCTACTTCTCCAAGTGCTTATGATTGACATCTCTGTTCAGCTCAGGTTTCTGTGCCACTGCAGTTCTGCATCTTGAGGTCCAGTACCAATGTTCAGTGCAAATACCGGTCCTTGCAATGCAGGAGAAAATACAAGTACAAAAAGGTAGAAGTACAAAGAGGTGTCCAAGTTTAATTTCACTAATTTAGGTTGTTATCTAATCCAATCCAACTTTATTTATAGAGCACTTTAAAAACAACATGGTTGACCAAAGTGCTTTCCAGTAAAAATCAGTGGCAAAAGTTAAAAACCATACATTAAACAAAGAAAGTCAAATAACAATAAAATAAATGAAAAAAAAAAGATAAAAATGAATCAGTAAATATTAAAACATGAATAAAACAGACAATAAATAAAAGCACAGAAGATTAAGAGCAACCAAAAACTGACTAAAACTGACTACAAGCTGACTCGGGTACTACTCATAAAACGCCTTGGGAAAAGGATGTGTTTTTAAAAGTGACTTGAAGTTTTCAAGTGTTGGGGCCAGCCTAATATGGAGGGACAACTTATTCCATAATTTGGGGGCCACAACAGCGAAAGCTCACACCCCCAGGTGCTTCAGTCTCGACATGGGGACAGCAAGGAGTGACTGGTCAGTTGATCGGAGAGATGTTTGAGGAGTGCATGTGTAAGAGGTCTGCCAGGTAAGTAAGCGCAAATAAGTAGGATTCCAATGCAGCAGAGGTGGGCGGAGTTTAACATAAAAGTGAAAACATTTCAAAACAGCTTCCACAGGCAGAAAACAGGAAAAGGAAACCGGTCCTGATTCTTCTTTCTTATCCCAATTCAGGATACGACAAGTCTTACTGTGTCTCAGGAGGAGAAATTTAAAATATTACTGTCTGCCAGCATTAACCACAGTTATATCACACAGGCCACAATGATGTCATAGACTCAGATCTTAACACTGCTGGGAGGGAATGCAGAAGAAAAATAGGATATGATGGTTATGGTATTATTATGGTATTATGGTTAGTTTGAATATTTTGTCAGGTTAAAGTTTCATTGTTGAAGCAACTAACAGTGAGGCAAAACATGGAACAAATGAGTTAAGTACAATATAAACCTTGAGATAACAGCCACACACAAAAGACAACGATGATGCACAATAATGAGACAAATATGTGGCAACAAATAAACCAATCGACAGACTGAAAATAGATTTGTAACTTATACAAATGACTTTTATTAGTGACACAGGATCTGAATGATGTCAGTATGTCACAAATAATTTACATGTTGCAAAATACTGTGTTGTGACTGTAATGTAGATAACTTTAGAATAATCCACAGACAGGGCAGGCATCACCAGCTTTCCAACTTGTTTCGGCAGGAAGTGTTTTGCAGATCTTTCATCACTTTAATTTATCTTGGCATGAGACGTGTTACTGAAAACAGCTCAGAGGGTCATAAGGTTGCCTGGAAGAGAAAAATGCTAAAGGAATAAAGAGGGGAGCTAATAAACAGCAGGTGTTACAAGAGAATGTGAAGAAAGCCAACACTACTGCACTCTGATAAGAGTGGCGCTTCAAAGACAAGCTTTTTAGATATAATTAGCTTTAAATGCCAACCCTGTATGCTAGTAATAATATATAGCATATAACTAAACTTGAACTACCACAACAATATAATAATTTCTCACTGTTGCTCTGACAGGTAGGAATTGTGGTGTGTGGTAAATGGTACGCGGACTGGTTTCTTAAAAAGCACTTTTCTGCTTTAGCGGAGGACTCAAAGCACTGATGCAACATACGAATGAGTCTGAGGTTATGTTCAGGGCTAAACCTGCGGGGTTTTCCCCTCACTTTTAAGCATTTTGTCTAAATGCTGCATGAGGTGTGTGAAGCTTTGACTTCCTTTGATCTATTCGCCGGTGCTTTTGTAAGATGAGCTTTCATCGCCGTTGTGAAAAATGTTATGCTGTAATATACAGCATAGACGCTTCTGTGAGCAACAGCTGAGCAACGAAGTCTCTTCTGCCAAGTCAACAACACCTCTCTGAGCCAAGTCTGTCAAAATAAGCATCTCTACCGCACACATAACATTTGACTCATATCCTCCAGATTTGCCTGCACATTCACCTCTCTGACGGGACATATTCTATACTTAAGGACAGCCTTCAGTAAATCATCACTGCAGCGCTGGAGGTTAGGATGATGTGGGAATGACAGCAAAATGAGATCTTTCTCCAGAAAGCTATTAACCAATTCAGGCTCGCAGCAGGAAGGAACCGTAGCCTCACACACGCACAATTAACATGCCGAGGAAAACTCGTAGCATTTCCACGTGGGTAGTTCAGTTTCACATTTTGAATTCAATAGCAGATAAATTAAAGTCCTCTCTCAGAGAGTGACGGGTGTTGAATGTGTTAATCCAAATGTTGCAGCAACATTGCTGCTTTCTGGAGCACATGAGGGCAGCTAACCTGCAAACGGTGATTAATATGTCAGTGTAGCTAAGGCACAATTAGAGCCATAGGGTTGGCCTTTGATACAGCTCCACACCGAACTGTCAAAGCCACTATAATTTACACATAGTTTATGGATTTATTTTCATTCCTCTCGGGTGTGATTAATTTTCTTCTTGTAGTCTGGTGGAGGCAAACAGCGTGGTTGTATAATCAATCATCGGCTCAGAATGCCAGTGTGTCACTTTCATTTCTCGATTCCATCGCGTGTCTCGTTTGGTATAATTGTCTCACATTTGAGACAATCAGCAGGTTCCCATCCTTTGACTCATAAACTCATCACTCAGAGCTGGATTCAGGCCTGAGTGCGGTGGCACGCAACCAAAGTCAGAGAAGAGAGTGAACCGAAACCACCACCTCTGCCTCCTCACACACGTGGCCGCTGTTGTCCCTCCCTCTTCTTCCCTCGAGTTATTCGTGTCCTCCCCGTACTCAGCAGCATGTCAGACAACGGACTTAAACCACAATGCTGTTATTCATTTTGTTCCCTCTGCCTCAGGTCGGCACGGTGGGTGTTTTTCATTCAGATTCCATCTAAGGATGTAAATTATGTCTCACCTGAAGAAAACTAAGATAATAGAAAACACATGAAAACCC